TAAAAGCCAAGCAAATGTATAACAACTAGAAGCAGTCAGCAATATGTGAAAAACTAGTAACATCAGAAGCCAGTGTTGGTTCCTGCATCCCCTAGCCTACTGATGCTCCTCTCTGCTTTTGCTTTTTTAACAGGGATATAAATCCTGAATAGGCACATTTAAGGTGACCAATTTTTTTACGACAAAAAGGAGGACACAAATAAATTGAAGAAAAAAATATCGTAAATAAAAGAAACATTGTATTTATTGCAACAATAATACAGAATACACTATAATATGATAAATGCATAATGAAAAACATTTGTAACATAACATTTTATATTTTAATTATGCTTACATGCCTATTAATTATTTAATGAGTACTTTTCCATTGAATGAATATTTTTTGTCAATGTATCATCTTCTAACAATATATTGGAAATATCTGAACAAGAAATATCCTTCATATTGAATTTTACGGCAAGTGCTGCAGCTAGAGCATCAACATTCAATCTCGATTTCTCACTTGTCCAAAAATCTACACGGCTGGACTGCGCGGGGGTGGGCGGCAGAGGCAGGTGTTGTGAGCCAGGTGCTCCAGGATGGCCTCGTAGGTGAGGTGGTGACAGCGCAGGTCAGCACTGCATAGACCACCAGCTGGCGCGGCCCATGGAAGGTCAACTGCCCGCCGTGCCCCCATCCACAGCCGCCCCGCCAGCACCGCTGCCCTGCCGTGGAGACCTGGCCCCGCGGCTCGCAAAGCACCAGCCGAGCCAGCTCCGGCCCTGCAGCCGTCCCCCAGCACCACTGCCCACCCTGCGCATCCCCGTAGAGCCGGCCTTGTGGCTCGCAAAGCACCAGCCGCGCCGACTCCGGCCCTGCAGCCACCCCCCAGCACCACCGCCTACCCTGTGCATCCCTGTGTAGAACTGAACAGGGAAGATCAAGAGAAACTTACCGCTCCAGTCTCCTCCAGCTATCTGCGGAACTAAGTAAGAGATGGTGTAGTTGGATAGCAGTGAGGGGTGCAAAGTTCCTGCAACTTGCACGTGCAAAGTTTGCCACCTGGGTATTTTGGCGCACTCAGCAGCAATTCCTATTGGCTTTCGAAAGCCAATAGGGGGAGTAGCACAGCTCAGGCAAAAGTTGAAAAAAACCATCAAAAAAAGGTCCCGGAACACCTTCTGAGCGTTCTATGAGGGAAAAAAAGCCCTGCAGATAAGTCTTCAAATATAAAAAAAGAGGACATTTAGGAGGACATTTTTGAGGGAGGACGGAACTCACAAAAGGAAAACTGTCCTCCCAAAAGGACGGTATATGGAAAAGGAGGACATTTAGGAGGACACTTTTTGAGGGAGGACAGAACTCAAAAAAGGAGGACTGTCCTCCCAAAAGGAGGACGGTTGGTCACCTTAGGCACATTTCTAGTTGCAGTTTCCACCTCTACTTAGGCTCGTGTCAAAGGTTCTTGACAAAGTTTCCTCCAAACAGATAGTTGTAAATAATTATGTAATTTGTTTTGATTCTTAGCAATAGAATTAGCACTTAGATTTATATACTGCTTAATAGCGCTTTACAGCACACTCTGGGCAGTTTACAATGTCAGCATATTGCCCTAACAATCTGGGTCCTCATTTTACTAACCTAGGGAGGATGGAAAGCAGAATCAACCTTGAGCCAGTCAAGATCAAACTCCTGGTAGTGGGCAGTGTTAGCCTGCAATACTGTACCACCACAGCTCCTCTTGCATTTATCACAGCAATAATGAATTATTCCTATAACTCAGTTTGGCAGCCTCATCCTCAATAAACCAGTATCTATAAAAATATTTGCTAGTAGTTGCATTGAACTCAGTAGGATACTTTCTTGTTGTCACTAACTATTCAAGATTACAGCCTTTCTTTCTTTCTTTCTTTCTTTTTGCACTTCACCACTTGCTGACATGACATCTTTATTCTGAATCCCATATATAGCTGGGATTTAGTTACTGAGAATTTGGACAGGAAGAATAAGTGAAACATCTGCTGCAAGACTTTTGATCCTACTACAGGGCATCAACACCATCAAATACTAGGAAACTTTGCCTGGGCAGGAAGCAAATAAATAGAACATTTCATATTGTCCAGGGATTCATTGTTTGGTTGATTGGCTGTTGATATACTGTAGTGTTAGCAATTGAACTGATAAGAAAGTCTTATCCTGAAGCTCCTTCATGTGATACTTTTGTCTGAAAAATTTCCTTAAACATTATTGTGAAAACAAATGAATAAATATTTTTGCTAACTATTCAACATTTGAAGAAATCATGCAGCCTAGGGTTGTGGAAATCATTGAAGGATGCTTCTCTTTGATGCAAATTCTATGTAAAACATTCCCCTGTTTTTACATCTCCTTTCTGGATAGATGGTACTGAATGACATACTGCCTGTTCATTTTGATGAAGGGAATTACTTCATTACAGTACTCCATACAGACTTAATGCAGCCTCATCAGTCAGTATATTTAATAGAATGGCTATGTCCTTGTTTATAGTTTCTTTCTCAATAGAAAAGATTGCAAATAAACCTGGATTGTATTTAGTTTTTCTCAATAAAAATAAACATATTTGTGATCATACCATTGCAAAAAACCAGGATGACTTGTTTCCCAACTTCATCTCTAGTACTTTTTCATATAAACTCTCTATGTAATTTGTCAACTTGCTTGGAGAATACCTACAGATTATGTTCTTCAGATTGTAAGATGTTTTATCCTTAATAATATGTTGAAAAGCTTGTCAACTCTCTGCTTCATTGTCACAACTAAAGATCTTTTTAAAGGTCTTTATTTTTAGTAATATGTCAATCACTGTTACATGACCTTAATATTACTATTTGTTCTTCATTTTTAAATTGTAATTTCCCTTATGCATACAGATAATATGGTCTATGTCAATGATCTATCATGATGTCACTAGATATATATGAGTTTATTTATTTTATTTATTTCATTTCCATTTTAAAGGTCTACCTTTCTCTTTTATAATTTTTTTTTTTGAGAAACTGGGGAAATTGTTCTTAAAAAGTGAGCCAAACAAATTTTTCTTCCACATGTAGATATTAGTTTACTATCAGAAGAATTCAAACCTTGATAAGGGAAAAATGTTCTGTGAATCACAATGATCTTGATATATCAGCTTATTTGATCATGCTTTCTGGGTAAAGCAACCTTCCGACCATTTTTTTAAAGAGAGAATAATAGTTAACTGTAGCTCTACAGTTTTTAAACTGGGAACTATAATTTTACTTTCTGTCATTAAAAAAAGAAAAAAAATAATCTGAGTTTATGGGGAGTTTACATCCCTGATTACATGTTTCGTAAAGTTAAAAGCTTGTTTTGGTGGAGAGATGTTCATGCAATTAAAATATATAGCTCTCATTAGAGCCACAGCCAAGTTATATAGCCATCTCACTTGCCAAGAAAGTTATCTAATTTTCCCATACCAGAATCTGGCAAAAAGTTTGTTCCATGCTGCCAGTTTTTATCACTGAATTCTGTAACACAACTCATTGGTCTATAAACTAGCATTACAATTACCAGCTGGTAGGGCTCCTCTGCTTTCAACAATTGCTTAACTGGCCATTTATTATTCAAAAGATGCCATAATGCTTTGTATAAATGGCCTGGATGCGATATTATACAGATGTTTAGTGCATTACAACAGTAGTGAATGGCAACCTTAGCTGTCAGATTAGACCTTTGGGATACTTTTCCTCCAGTTCAATTCAATATCCCATGGGTAGGCTTTCAAACAAATCAAAAGCTGAAAGTGATGCAGGGAGATCCAGGTCCTTTTTCAATTCCAGTTACTAAAACGAGCAATTCCAAACCTTATGCCAAAATTTCACTAATTAGTTTTAAGAAACTAAACATAACATATTTTAAAAACTATAAATCATTGTTAAAATCTGAATAATTTGTGAATATTAACTGCAATTGTCAACAAAGTATATAAATCATAAAATGATATTTAATTTCTCTCTAACAAATTAGATACTATGTTAAAAGAAAGCAAATTTCATGTGTGGTATAAACTTGTACATGGAATTATAATCCACCAATTGTTTCCAAACGAAAATCAGTTCTATGGAAGATTTGCTTTTGAAACACAAAGTTATTTGGACATCAAGGTGTATTCCCAAAGCATAATTAGCATTTTTCCACAAAAGGAAGCAGGTGTTCTTTTCAATAGGAAGCTAAAAGTATTCTTGCAGCAAATACTATGTACAAAACCAATTTATAACACTTTGAGGGAATGTAAGGTGAGTAAAATGTATTTAAAAAATAGCGGGCTGGAAAGGAAATTCAGCATTTACATTTTTTTCCTTTTATTATAAATCGTTTAAACAGAACATTGAGCTTTACAATATTGCCACCAAAATTAGAGGAAAAAATGATCAACTATTTCCCACAATTTTTGGAAAAAGATTTGTATATTTCCATATTTCACCTAGTAGCTTTCCTTAATTTTCTCTTCTTCCAATAATATTCTCTTTTATCAACCTTAAATTAGTACAATTCTTGACAGTTTTAGAAGATAACAATTAAATATCTACAAATATCCTCCACCTCATTATTAAGCTTCTTTTCTAATTAATCACCGTATCATAGATCCTGTTTTTATTCTCATTTAAATTTATTTTCCCCTCAATGTTCAAAAGAAAATATTTTACGTGTTAAATCTTTTTAAAAGTTAATTACACTTATATATTGAAGTCTTTTCTTCATATGAACCATCCCAACACTTACATTTTCATATCTTGAAAAAGAAAGAAAAAAGCACAGAAATAATATATTTGTATATATATATGTGTAAGTGTTGGGATGGTTCATATAATAATATATGTATATAAAGTCAATCAGATAAAAATAAAGAGCTCTGGGATGTAAGGTAAAAGGCTTTTTTTATTAATTGCTGAGCTTTCATTAACAACCTGTTAACATCATCAGAGCAAAGGGCTAAATGAGAAGGGGGAAGTATGCGCATAAATTTACATAACAGTTAAACAACGGTTGCAGTGAGGCATGTGGACATAGTGTGCTTAAGAAGCTCTTAAAGGCATAAAGCAGTCAGTCTCAAGACCATTTTCAAAAGTCGCGCTTGTCAGCTGTTTGGCGCATAGATCCAGCAAGCCTATCAGTTGTTCGGCGTGAGGTTCTTAGGGCTTCGTGCTCAGTCTTGTGCCAACTGGATTCCTTCCGTGAGGTGCAGCTTGGGGGTTCGCTTCGCTCTATCGCATGCAGGAGCTGCAGGATTAGATCTGTAGGGAGAGAAAGCAGATGCTCTTGTGGGGCATGTGAATAATTTGCTTGCCCTCACTCCCCCTTTTTAAGAAGCTGTGAAATCATCTCATACAATATCAACATAGCACACAAACCCAACCAAACGTTATGTTCCTAGTTGATGAGACCCAAAGAACCATTACCAACCAGTGATTTGTCCTCCATCGTATACAAGATCAACTGCAACACATGCCAATGTAGCTACATTGGAGAAACATCAAAGACTTAAAACCAGAATACATGAGCATATTTTGGCAGTAAGAAGACAAGAACAATGCTCCCAAATCTGGACCCATATAGCTGAACATGGCCACACTTTCAACTTTAAAGGAGCAGAAGTCATTGCTCAAGGCCGTCTTTTAAAAGAAGGTTGGTTTTCAGACTGTCATTCTGTTAATAAACACATAGACCTACTATCTCCTTACCAAACCCTAAAAAGACATTTACAAAAACATAAAATACCTAAATACTTCAACCCAACCAATAATAACACAAAAACCCCATCCCACCCACTTATCAAACCCCAAACCAACACAATAGATATCCTTTCTACAACACAATCCTTTTCATCAAACCTAAGTAAAGAATATAACTCTAACACAACCATGACAACTCACACAACCAACACACCATGTTCTGATATTCTCACACACAGAAATAACAACCCCCCTGACCACAACATCCAGGACACAAACATCCAAAACACAAATCCTGCAACCTCACAAGACACTCACACACAACAAAACATACACACGCAACACCTACGTAACAACAGAATATTAAGATCAAGATCAAAACTCCCCCCTGCAATGAAATATGACTTACCACATTCAATGGAACAAAATATTACAGCCCAATTCCCAAACACCACAAAACCATCCACAACTAATAAGCATAACAAACGACCACACACAAACATTCCAAATGACCGTACCCAATGAAACACACACACACACACACACACACACACACACACACACAGCAACCCTACACCAAAAAAACTATACAATCCAAGAGGCTGGCTTCTTTAACAGAGATGATTTCACAGCTTCCTAAAAAGGGGGAGCGAGGGCAAGCAAATCATTCACATGCCCCACAAGGGCATCTGCTTTCTCTCCCTACAGATCCAATCCTGCAGCTCCTGCATGCGATAGAGTGAAACGAACCCCCAAGCTGCACCTCAAGGAAGGAATCCAGCTGGCACAAGACTGAGCATGAAGCCCTAAGAACCTCACACTGAACAGCTGATAGGCTCGCTGGATCTATGCACCAAACAGTTGACAAGCGCGACTTTTGAAAATGGTCTTGAGACTGACTGCTTTATGCCTTTAAGAGCTTCTTAAGCACACTATGTGCACATGCCTCACTGCAACCGTTGTTTAACTGTTATGTAAATTTATGCGCATACTCCCCCCTTCTCATTTAGCCCTTTGCTCTGATGATGTTAACAGGTTGTTAACAAAAGCCTAGCAATTAATAAAAAAAGCCTTTTACCTTACATCCCAGAGCTCTTTATTTTTATCTGATTGACTTTAAATGTCCAAAATTATCATATATATATATATATATATATATATATATATATATATATATATATATATATATATATATATACATTAAAATTAAAAATTGAAGAATAGCGATTCCTGGGTACATACATTTCAGTAAAAAAGGAGACAGAGACAGAGACATGCCTTCAATGGATGTACAGAAGATCAATATTTACAGCCGCCCCATTATGGGGGTGGTCACGCGCTCCCGGAGAGCGGCGTTACAGAAGACTGAAAGAGAGGCAACCGGATTGAGAGTCGCACCAGGTGGCATGAAGGAGGAGCATGGAGGATGCGATATGCTGGGAACAGTGGGGGGAAATAAAATTGTGGATGAGATTGGTGGCAAGGATTGTGGGGGGATTGAAGGAGTGACAGGATTGAAGAATGCAAATGAGTGCGATGCGTGCCGGAGGAGTGGAGGAGAGAAACGTCCCAAGGAACACAGAAAGAAGAATCAATTCAATAGTGCAGAGGACCCTTCAACTTTGAGAAACACACATTGCCTATATGACTCAGGAACTAAAGGGAGGGAGGAAGTGGGTGGTTGTGTGGATGTAAGTAAGAGCTATAAGTGAAGCAAGGATTAGTCGGCCTGGACCTGTTACAAGGTCCATGCGTAGAGTTTAGGCGTGGCTATGCTTGTAAGCAGGTTTCCTCACTAGCTAGCTTGTATTCTGACAATGATGGCAGGTGCTAGCCATTGAAAGCTAGGTGGATGTAAGTAAGAGCTAAAAGAAAGAATCACTGAAGGCTGTAAGTAAAGTAAGGATTAGTTGGCTTGGACCTGTTACAAGGTCCATGCGTAGAGTTTAGGTGTGGCTATGCTTATAAGCAGGTTTCCTCACTGACTGGCTTGTATCCTGACGATGATGGCAGATGTTAGCCATCGAAAGCTTGATTTTATTTATTAAAACCTTGGTGTTTTACTTCCTGGTGATCGCTTTCCTTTTTTACTGAAATATATATATATATATATATATATATATATATATATATATATATATATATATATATATATAGGATCCTCCCTATGTCCAGTCATGTAGTGAATACCCCCCCCACCAGTCCTGGTTTCGCCTCTGACAATCGGCATCCGTCTCTTGGCATGCTCTTCTTGCACTCTAAGTGCCTGGTATGCCGGGGGCAGTTCTATACATCGGTTGATGGAGTCTGTGTTGGAGAACCAGGCCTCCTTTAATAAGCGTCCTCCTTTGGAGGCGTCCTGGGCAATGGCTTCTGCCTCCTTGAAATCAAAAGAATGTCCGGTATTGATCATGTGCGTCCATATTTGAGAGTACTGCTCCTGCCTTCTGACAGCCAATTTATGTTCATGTATCCTATGTATTCATATGAACAAATTAAGGGTACACCAATGGGATCTCCCATTTCGGGGGTCATTGCAGAGGCGGTCCTACAGTGTTTGGAAAGCAGGGCCATGGCCGACTACCAACCAGAGTTTTGGGCCAGGTATGTCGACGATACCTTTGTCATCGTCAAACGGGCAAGAAAAACTGCCCTTATGGAGAAACTCAACTCAATATTCCCGGACATACAATTCACAGCGGAGGAGGAGGCCAATGGCAGCTTGGCCTTCCTAGACGTTTTGGTTACACGTCAAACCAATGGTGCCCTCCATACGACAGTGTACAGAAAAGCCACTCACACCGACAGGATGTTGCACTATATGAGCAATCACCCAGCAGCCCATAAGATTTCATGCGTTAGAACATTATTTGCACGTATAGACACGCACTGTAACACCAGGAGGGCTAAGCAGAGGGAGCGTGCACATCTTTATCAAGTATGTAAGTGGAATGGCTATCCAACTAGCTTTATTCAGAGGTATAGCAAACGTCAAGAACCCCGCAGGGCACCGAATGATCCAGGGACAATGGTCCGAACAACAATACCGTATGTCCAGGGAGTATCGGAAGCAACAGCGCGCATATTGGCACCTTACAATATTAAAGTTGCTCACCAGCCTGATGAAACACTCCAGATGAAAGTCATGTGCCCCAAAGAGCCGTTGCCGAAGGAAGAAAGATCAGCGGTCGTATACAGAGTGCATTGCAAAGACTGCCAATGTAATTATACAGGGGAGACAGCCAAATGAATAAAAACAAGGATACATGAACATAAATTGGCTGTAAGAAGGCAGGAGCAGTACACTCAAATATGGACGCACATGATCAATACCGGACATTCTTTTGATTTCAAGGAGGCAGAAGCCATTGCCCAGGACGCCTCCAAAGGAGGACACTTATTAAAGGAGGCCTGGTTCTCCAACACAGACTCCATCAACCGATGTATAGAACTGCCCCCGGCGTAGCAGGCACTTAGAGTGCAAGAAGAGCATGCCAAGAGATGGATGCCGATTGTCAGAGGTGAAACCAGGACTGGTGGGGGGGGTATTCACTACATGACTGGACATAGGGAGAATCCCATAGACACATCACAGGTGGGGACAGATGAGGGAACATTAGGGTCACAGATAGGTAAGGGTAGTAAAGGAAGAGGAGGCGGATATGATGGAGAGTTGCAAGGAGAAGGGGACCAGGGAAGACTCTTGGGAACATCGGAATTGATCGTACGGCCCAGAACACGGGGGAGGCGTATGCCCAACCCCAGGGGACTGATCAAAAGAGAGGGGGAGACAGAAAAGAACAGAAAAGACGAGGCACGCTTCACGGGTGGAGAGGGGATATTTGAGAAGGGAGTAAGAATGGAGGAGAATAGTCAGGAACAGCAGGTAGAGCTGCAGATTAGAGGGGGGGAGGAAACAGGAGAGAGTGGAATTGATAGGTATGGAAAAGGGCAGGCAGGAATAACAGGCAGGACAGCAGTTTTGGGGGGGGGAGTTTGGGAAGGAGAGTCCAATAGGAACGCAGGTCGGTAAATGGGAACAGTATGTAGGACAGCAGGTAAGGGGAGGAAGAATGCTGGAAGAAACAGCAAACAGAGCAGTGGATTGGAGAGGGGGGGAGGAAACAGGAGAGGGGGGGACTGACAGGAAAGGAGAAGGGCAGATAAGAATAGAAGGCAGGACGACAGATTGGGGGGGAGGAAAGCTTAAGAAGGAGGATTTAACAGGAATGGATGTTGGCATGTGGGAACAGCATGTAGGATGGCAGGTTAGAGGAGGAGGAATGCTAGAAAAGAGAGGATGTACAGAAATGGATGAACAACAGGTAAGTCAGCAGATGATGGGGAGGATATTGGAGAGGGGAAGATGGACAGTGGGGGAGGAGGGTAAACAGGAACAGCAGGTAGAGCAGTGGATCAGGAAGGAAAAGATATTGAGGAAGAGAACATCAATAAGGATGGTTGATGAAAGGCAGGAGCAACATGTTAATCAACAGGTGGGAGGGTTGAAGGAAGGGGGGGGAAGGATGACAGGAATGGACAACAAAGGGTGTATGAATCGG